GACATCGCGACGTCCGCGTGGCCTCGCATCACGCAGAGACGTCCACATCTGGCGGCCAGAAGCTCCACCGCCTTAACCGCTGCGTCTCAGCAGCAGCCTGGCGCGTTCATTCACAGCGCAGGGGTCGGAAACCACCACGTGGCGCAGCTGTGAGCCAGGGAAGGACTGAGCCGTGCCCTGTCAGCACCGAGGAGGTGGCTCGGTGAAGCAGATCGACTCCCCGTGGCCCACAGGGGTGGACGTGGCTACGAGCCCCTTGCATGGAGCAGCACGGAGTCTAGGAGATGTTAACTCCTTCGCCTGGTATACAGGAGGTCGTGGATTTGATCCAGGACTCAGGCACCTGCTGTATATTTGGAGTCTGCATCTCTCTCCCTCTCATCATCATCATGGTGGCTAGGAGATGTTAACTACCTTGCCTGGTATTTAGGAGATCCCGGACCCTGACGATGCCTGCCTGTTGTATATTCGGAGCCTGCGTCTCTCTCTCTCTCTCTCAATATTATAACGCTGGCTAGGATACGTTAACTACCTTCCCTGGTATACAGGGGATCGTGGGTTCTATCCTGGACCCTGACGATTCCTGTTGTATATTTCGAGTTTGCATGTCTCTCTCTCTCTCATCATCATCACGGTGGCGAGAAAATATTAACGACATCGCCTGCTAGTTAGAAGGTACGTGGGATCGATCCCGGACCCTAACAATGCCGGCTATATATTTTAGAGTTTGCGTCTCTCTCTCTCTCTCCCCGTGGTCGCGTCGATTCCTCTCCGGGTCTACCAGTTATTTACCTCCACATTTAGAATCAACGTCGCCACGAGTTTAGAGTTTCAGGCTGCAGTGAAACAGCGAGACAAAGCAGGGACGGCAAGATGGGCAAAGAAGAGAGACCCACAGAGATGGGGCTACTGAGTATCGCAGCGAGTTGTATCGGGATAGGGATCAAGAGAATAACGAGTTGCTGGGTGAGCTAGAGAGGATATACCCTTTGGACCACCGAGGGATACACAGAGATACAGAAAGATAAATAGAGATATAGACATACACAGAAACACATAGAGATACATAGAGATGCACATAGAGATAGGAACAGATACCTAGTGATAAGATGATGATGATGCGGAGACTCGGGCTGGGATAGTGGGCGCAGCTGCTTGACAGCAAATGTTGCTGTTGAGGCTCGTGGCAGAGAGAGCGAAGATTATTAAATGGAAGCTGCTGAGCACTGCAGGGAAGATTTCCCCTCAGCACCACCAATGATGACGTCTCGTACGAAGAAATGGGAAAGGTAAAATAACAACATCTGACGATGAATCAAAAGTCCAGGAGTGGACGACATAAAACAGACAGATAGACAAAGAAACAGAGAGGGACAGAAATACAGACGTAGAAATAGAGAAGCAGAAAAATACAGAGTGACAGAGATAGAGAGAGACAAATAGATAGGGGGAGATAGACGGGGAACAGATGCATACAGACAGAAAGAGAGATACAGTGAGATAAACAGGAAGAGAAAGGCAGAGAGTGAGAGAGATAAATAGAGAGAGAGGAAAAAGGAACGACAGGGAGAGACAGAGAGAGACACACGCCGAGACAGATAAAAAGAGACAGGGAGAATGATTATTAAAATTCGAAAGGTTTGAGAGATAATTCAGTAACATCTGGCAGAAGAAAGCAACCCTTAAGCTACAAGACCAACACAGAACAACTTAAAGAACAACATTCGTGTTCAGTAGCAGCTCTGTATGCCTGCGAGAACTGGACATTAAAACAAAGACAGACAGAGATAAGATGTTGACACTCGAAATGTATTGCAGCTGCTGCTGCTGCTGTGACCACTCCAGGACTCCCCGCACTGCGAGCTCAGTCGAGGCTCTCACCGCGCTGTCCGCTCGCTGCCGTGCCGAGTGAGCGGACAGCCGCTATTGGTACCAGAGCAGCGCGCTGAGTCGGGGACCACTCTGGTCCAATTATCATCTGCCGTCCTCGGAACTCCTGGGTGCTGAGAGATCCAGCGGCTGAGATACAGGATGTCTGAACAGGCGCAGTTGGCCGGAGACAAATCATTTGTACCTTGTATAGATTAATATAGAAATAAGTGTCCTTTTTAAATCCTTTTTATTAAGTTCACTTGCTTGCGCGCTTACGACCGTGCAAATCTTTCGGTCGTTTTTTAACCCACTTCCCGTGATCCAATCGAGCTGACATTTTGCACACAGACTCGTTGTGCGTGACAATTTATTTTCGTGAAAATTTTTTTCCTAAATTTTCCACTTTTTAGGAAAAAAACACATTTCACTAACACAATCATACATTTTTCCTAAACACAGAAAATTATTCAAGAAAACAACAAAAATGTACAATATAAACAATCATACAAAAACTGAAAACCTTATAATCCTTATATACGACTTTCTTTATATTTAATTAAAAATACCAATGTGATAAAAATGAAACTCTTACTCAAGAAAAACAGAAATGAATAATAAAATAAAACCGATGCCACTCATATAAAGGATTTATAGTGAAAAACTTTGTTTTTACGGGTTAATTTTTTAAATATCTTGCATAGATTTATATCTACTTGCGCGTTATTCTTATTTCTTAGATATATAGAGAGCAGAGCCTTATTCTTATATCCCATGTAGATTTACATATATAGCAGAGCTTAATTGTTATATTTTGAATAGATTTAAATATTAGCAGCGCCTTATTCTAATTTATTGTATAGATGTATATATAGAGCAGTGCCTTATTCTCGTATCTTGTATAAATCTACATATAGCAGTCTTGTTCTTATATCTTGTATAGCTTCATATACAGCAGAGTATTATTCTTATATCTTGTTTAGATTTATATACAGCAGGGCCTTATTCTTATACCTTGCATAGATTCATGTATATCACGACCTTTTTCTTATATTTTCTAAAGGTTTATATGCAGTAGCACCTTATTCTCATATCTAAAGTCGGCTGATGCTGCTGCAGATGATGGTTCAGCTTGAGCATCACTACCGAGCGAGAAGCCACGTGGCCCTGACATCACAGTAGACCAAGACCCAGACGCCATGAGAAGTCACGTGGCCCTACACGTCACAGTAGACCAAGACCCAGACACCATGAGAAGTCACGTGGCCGTGACGTCACAGAAGACCAAGACCCAGACACCATGAGAAGTCACGTGGCCCTGACGTCACAGTAGACCAAGACTCAGACACCATGAGAAGTCACGTGGCCCTGACGTCACAGTAGACCAAGTCCCAGACACCATGAGAAGTCACATGGCCCTGACGTCACAGTAGACCAAGACTCAGACACCATGAGAAGTCACGTGGCCCTGACGTCACAGTAGACCAAGACCCAGACACCATGAGAAGTCACGTGGCCCTGACGTCACAGTAGACCAAGACCCAGACACCATGAGAAGTCACGTGGCCCTGACGTCACAGTAGACCAAGACCCAGACACCATGAGAAGTCACATGGCCCTGACGTCACAGTAGACCAAGACTCAGACACCATGAGAAGTCACGTGGCCCTGATGTCACAGTAGACCAAGACCCAGACACCATGAGAAGTCACGTGGCCCTGACGTCACAGTAGACCAAGACTCAGACGCCATGAGAAGTCACGTGGCCACAACAATCAACAACACACAAGTCACAACAACAACATCGCAATTCCTGGTGACATCAGATGCTATAATCTTGTCATCACCACCACTATCACTTCTTTCGCCCACAGCGCTATTGCTGTTGATTGCCGTCAGTGAACCGCCGGTTCATTGACACCATGAACAGTCTGTTCACTAACGCACTGAACCCATCACCGGGTAACCAACGCTACCATTGCGTGGATAAAAAAAGTATAGCCCGTAAAAACAAAGTTTTTCACTCTAAATCCTTTATATGCGTGGCGGCTAGAGTCCTCTCGTCCTCTGGCTTGAGATGGCTGCCACCTATGGGTCAGATGATTGTCTGCAGTATTAAACAATTGGTAATTAAATATTTAATTTGTTTCCCCTAAACAGTGTAAAATTTTGGAAAAAAAATTTCACGAACATTAATTGTCTGGCACAACGAGTCTGTGTGCAAAATGTCAGCTCGATTGGATCACGGGAAGTGGGTTAAAAAACGACCGAAAGGTTTGCACGGTCGTAAGCAAGCAAGCAAGCGAACCTAATATAAAGGATTTAAAAAGAGGAGTTATTACACTACACTACTAATGCAATTGGTGATTACAATCAAGGAGATTGGTCATTGACAAAATCAATCGATAGATTGACCGACGAGCGGTCTCGTGATTGACAGCCGTTCGTTAACGATCATTAGACAACGGGATGTGATGCTTCACGTGGTCAGTGCCAAAGGCCCCGTGTTGGTGTCGTTATCAGGACCACGACAACGATCACGATTACGTGACAGGTGCAGAAAGTTAGAACGCATCCAAATCAGAGGCCACATTGGAACCTCGCGGGGGCTGTACGGTGCCTAGGAGATGTTAACTACACCTCGCCTGGTATTCAGGAGGTCGTGGGTTCGATCCCGGATCCTTGACGATGTCTGTCTGCTGGATATTTGAAGTCCACGTCTATTTCATCACCATCATCACCGTGGCTAGGAGATGTTAACGACATCGCCTGGTATGTAGGATGTCGTGGGTTCGATCTCTCACCCTGACGATGCCTGCCTGCTGTATATTTGAAGTCTGCGTCCTTCTCATCATCATCATCATCACCGTGGCTAGGAGATGTTAACTACCTCGCCTGGTATTCAGGAGGTCGTGGGTTCGATCTCTCACCCTGACGATACCTGCCTGCTGTATATTTGAAGTCTGCGTCCTTCTCATCATCATCATCACCGTGGCTAGGAGATGTTAACTACATCGCCTGGTATGTAGGAGGTCGTTGATTCGATCTCTCACCCTGACGATGCCTGCCTGCTGTATATTTGAAGTTGCACCCTTCTCATCACCATCACTACGGAGGCTAGGAGATGTTACCTACATCATGTGCAGGAAGCCGTGGGTTCCATCCTGGAGCATGGCTATGCCTGCCAGCTGCATATGTGGACCATAATAGAGTTTGTTTGGGTTAGATCACGTAAATATATTAATGTGTTGTTAAACCCGCCACCACCTGACACAGCCTACCAGTAATAGTTGTCACTTAAACATATGTGTGTGTATATATATTCATAATCAACGTTTTTGGGTTTAGATCGCGTTATTTATAAATGTGTCGTAACCCTCCACCACCCGACACGGCCAATCAGTAAAAAAGTGTCATGTTGACAAAAGACAAATATAGAGCAGAGAACGGGAGATACAGCAGAGCCTCACCATTCTGGCGAATTGCCCGATGATGCTGGATGCAATTACCAGCGAAACGTCGTACAACTCAAATTGTAAATGTTGTGGTTTCACACTTCAACACACCGGTGGGCTAAAGCAGGGAACTATTTGTCTTTTGTCAACGTGACACTTTTTTACTGATTGGCCGTGTCGGGTGGTGGAGGGTTACGACACATTTATAAATAACGCGATCTAAACCCAAAAACGTTGATTATGAATAACATTGGTCGCGAAAGCATGCGTGTTAAACTGTATATATATATTCTTGGTTCTTTCGGTAAAGTCACGTAGAAGGGAAATAATAAAATAATATAAAACAATAAAAATTCTCACGACGTTTCGACTGCAACACAAGCAATCATCATCAGGTGTGAAATCCACAATTTTCTTGCTGTGGATTTGTTTCATATTTTTATTATTTTATTATTTCCATTCTACGTGACTTTACCGAAATAACCAAGAAGATGAATCCCTGCAGTCACGAAAGAAGCTTGAAATCGAAATTTAGCGCAGTGAGGGGGGAAGCCGCCAGGGGGCGCAGCTGCGAGCCCGTGGCCACTGAGCCCTGCGCTCTCAGCCCCGGTGAGGTGGAGTGGCTGAAGCAGAACGACCCCCGTAGCCCCCAGGGCTGCACGTGGCTACGAGGAGCCCCTTGCAGTCAGTGGCAGCCTTCGAGTCGGCTGTGAACCAGCGTGGTTCATACTCATAGTGTAGTGTATAGTGTAGTGTATAGTGTAGTGTGTAGTGTATAGTGTAGTGTATAGTGTAGTGTATAGTGTAGTGTGTAGTGTATAGCAGTGTAGTGTGTAGTGTATAATACAGTGTATTATGTAATGTGTAGTGTATAGTGTAGTGTATCATGTAGTGTATAGTGCAGTGTATAGTGTAGTGTATAGTGTAGTGTATAGTGTAGGGTAGTGTATAGTGTAGTGATTAGTGTAGTGTATAGTGTAGTGTATAGTGTAGTGTATAGTGTAGTGTATAGTGTAGTTTATAGTCGTGTATAGTAGTGCATAGTAGTGTATAGTGTAGTGTATAGCAGTGTAGTGTATATTGTAGTGTATTGTATAGTGTATAGCAGTGTTGTGTATAGTGTAGTGTATAATATAGTGTATAATGTAGTGTATAGTGTAGTGTATAGTGTAGTGTATAGTGTAGTTTATAAAGTAGTGTATAGTGTAGTGTATAATATAGTGTATAATGTAGTGTATAATGTAGTGTATGGTGTAGTGTATAGTGTAGTGTAGTGTGTAGTGTATAGTGTAGTGTATAGTGTAGTGTATAGTGTAGTCATTAGTGTAGTTTATAGTGTAGTGTCGTGCATAGTGTAGTGATTAGTGTAGTGATTAGTGTAGTGTATAGTGTAGTGTGTAATGCAGTTTATATTCGTGTATAGTAGTGTATAGTGTAGTGTATGGTGTAGTGTATAGTGTAGTGATTAATGTAGTGTATAATATAGTGTATAGTGTAGTTTATAAAGTAGTGTATAGTGTAGTGTATTGTATATAGTGCAGGTTATAGTAGTGTATAGTGTAGTGGATTGTGTAGTGTATAGTGTAGTTTATAAAGTAGTGTATAGTGTAGTTTATGAAGTAGTGTATAGTGTAGTGTATAGTGTAGTGTATAGTGTAGTTTATAAAGTAGTGTATAGTGTAGTTTATGAAGTAGTGTATAGTGTAGTGTATAGTGTAGTGTATAGTGTAGTGATTAGTGTAGTGTATAGTGTAGTGTATAGTGCAGGTTATAGTAGTGTATAGTGTAGTTTATAGTGTAGTTTATAGTGTAGTGATTAGTGTAGTGTATAGTGTAGTGTGTAATGCAGTTTATATTCGTGAATAGTAGTGTATAGTGTAGTGTATGGTGTAGTGTATAGTGTAGTGATTAGTGTAGGGATTAATGTAGTGTATAATATAGTGTATAGTGTAGTGTATCATGTAGTGTATAGTGCAGTGTATAGTGTAGTGTATAGTGTAGTGTATAGTGTAGGGTAGTGTATAGTGTAGTGATTAGTGTAGTGTATAGTGTAGTGTATAGTGTAGTGTATAGTGTAGTTTATAGTCGTGTATAGTAGTGCATAGTAGTGTATAGTGTAGTGTATAGCAGTGTAGTGTATATTGTAGTGTATTGTATAGTGTATAGCAGTGTTGTGTATAGTGTAGTGTATAATATAGTGTATAATGTAGTGTATAGTGTAGTGTATAGTGTAGTGTATAGTGTAGTTTATAAAGTAGTGTATAGTGTAGTGTATAATATAGTGTATAATGTAGTGTATAATGTAGTGTATGGTGTAGCGTATAGTGTAGTGTAGTGTGTAGTGTATAGTGTAGTGTATAGTGTAGTGTATAGTGTAGTCATTAGTGTAGTTTATAGTGTAGTGTCGTGCATAGTGTAGTGATTAGTGTAGTGATTAGTGTAGTGTATAGTGTAGTGTGTAATGCAGTTTATATTCGTGTATAGTAGTGTATAGTGTAGTGTATAGTGTAGTGTATAGTGTAGTGATTAATGTAGTGTATAATATAGTGTATAGTGTAGTTTATAAAGTAGTGTATAGTGTAGTGTATTGTATATAGTGCAGGTTATAGTAGTGTATAGTGTAGTGGATTGTGTAGTGTATAGTGTAGTTTATAAAGTAGTGTATAGTGTAGTTTATGAAGTAGTGTATAGTGTAGTGTATAGTGTAGTGTATAGTGTAGTGTATAGTGTAGTTTATAAAGTAGTGTATAGTGTAGTTTATGAAGTAGTGTATAGTGTAGTGTATAGTGTAGTGTATAGTGTAGTGATTAGTGTAGTGTATAGTGTAGTGTATAGTGCAGGTTATAGTAGTGTATAGTGTAGTTTATAGTGTAGTTTATAGTGTAGTGATTAGTGTAGTGTATAGTGTAGTGTGTAATGCAGTTTATATTCGTGTATAGTAGTGTATAGTGTAGTGTATGGTGTAGTGTATGGTGTAGTGTATAGTGTAGTGATTAGTGTAGGGATTAATGTAGTGTATAATATAGTGTATAGTGTAGTGTTTTGTATATAGTGCAGGTTATAGTAGTGTATAGTGTAGTGTATTGTGTAGTGTATAGTGTAGTTTATAAAGTAGTGTATTGTGTAGTTTATGAAGTAGTGTATAGTGTAGTGTATAGTGTAGTGTATAGTGTAGTGATTAGTGTAGTGTATAGTGTAGTGTATAGTGTAGTGTATAGTGTAGTGATTAGTGTAGTGTATAGTGAAGTGTATAGTGTAGTGATTAGTGTAGTGTATAGTGTAGTGTATAGTGCAGGTTATAGTGTAGTGTATAGTTTAGTGATTAGTGTAGTGTATAGTGTAGTGTACAGTGTAGTGTATAGTGTAGTGTATAGTGTAGTTTATAAAGTAGTGTATAGTGTAGTGTATAGTGCAGGTCATAGTAGTGTATAGTGCATAGTAGTGTAGGTTTCGTGTAGTTTAGTGTATCGTAGTGTAAGGTCCTGTATAGAAGTGTATACTAGTGCATAGTAGTGTATAGTGTAGTGTATGCAGGATGTGAAACCGTGCGATGCGGTAACGTTTTTATTTGATAGCTGAGCAGCTGCTGCGGCTGGAATGATGCTGAGCGAAGTTGGTGTGATGATAGTTTTAGCTTCTTGCTGACCAGAGGCATTGTGGTTCATTCATGGCAAGCACTTTCAGAGACCCATATACTGAAACCGTCACCCATAGACTCACACAGGAAACCACAGAATCACCACACAGAGACACATATACTCATCACCACACAGAGACACATAGACTCATCAGCACACAGAGAGCCATAGACTCATCACCACACAGAGAGCCATAGACTCGTCACGACACAGAGAGTCATCGATTCATCACCACACAGAGAGTCATCGATTCATCACCACACAGAGAGCTATAGAGTCATCACACAGAAACCCATAGACTCATCAACACACAAAGGAGACTCAGACAGAGATGCATAGACTCACACAGAGACCCAACGACTGACGCACAAACATAAACCACCACACAGAGACGCACAGACTCATCACCACCACACAGAGACCCACAGACTCATCACCACACAGAGACCCACAGACTCATCACCACACAGAGATCCACAGACTCATCACCACCACACAGAGACCCACAGACTCATCACCACACAGAGACCCACAGACTCATCACCACCACACAGAGACCCACAGACTCACCACACAGAGACCCATAGACTCATCACCACCACTCAGAGACCCATAGACTCACCACACAGAGACCCATAGACTCATCACCACCACACAGAGACCCATAGACTCATAACCACCACACAGATACCCATAGACTCATCACCACACAGAGACCCACAGACTCACCACACAGAGACCCATAGACTCATCACCACCACACAGAGACCCACAGACTCATCATCACCACGCAGAGACCCACAGACTCATCACCACTACACAGAGACCCACAGACTCATCACCACTACACAGAGACCCACAGACTCATCACCACACAGAGACCCACAGACTCATCACCACCACACAGAGACCCATAGACTCATCACCACCACACAGAGACCCATAGACTCACACAGAGACCCATAGACTCATCACCACCACACAGAGGAGACTTGAGGACTTCAGGGGCGTTTAATCTTCGACTGCGCGACGCCTCTCCTCCGAGCCCCCTCCACGATCAACACGCACACCAACAAAGTCAGCGCAGACAGGAGCAGCAGCAGAGACCCTCCTGCCCCTCCTCCCCCTCCTCCCCCCCCTCCTCCCCCTCCTTCTGCTGCTACTCCTTCTGCTGCTACTCCTCCAATCCCCCCTCCACCTGCCCCTCCTCCTCCTCTTCCTCCTGCTACTCCTCCTACTCCTCTCCCTCCTCCCCCTCCTCCTGCTCCTCCCCCTCCTCCCCCTCCTCCTCCCTCTCCTGCCCCTCCTCCTGCTCCTCCTTCTGCTGCTTCTCCTTCTGCTGCTCCTACTCCTCCCCCTCCTCCTCCCCCTCCTCCTACTCCTCCCCCTACTCCTCCTTCTGCTGCTCCTCCCCCTCCTCCTCCTCCTCCTCCCTCTCCTGCCCCTCCCCCTCCTCCTCCTGCTCCTGCTGCCGCTGCCGTCGCTGCTCGCGGCCTGAGGTGCTCGGCTCCGCCCACAGCGGTCACGTGCTCGAGCCAGCGACTGAGCGTGGCGCCGGGGGACATCGGCAGGGAGCGGTGCAGCGCGCTGGCGGCACGGGCAGCTGCACGGAGCCTGCGGGGGGGGGGGGGTGGTTCAGTGGGTGGTTCAGTGGGTGGTTCAGTGAGTGAGTGGGTGGTTCAGTGGGTGAGTGAGTGGGTGAGTGAGTGGGTGGATGAGTGGGTGAGTGGGTGGGTGGTTCAGTGGGTGGTTCAGTGGGTGGTTCAGTGGGTGGTTCAGTGAGTGAGTGGGTGGTTCAGTGGGTGAGTGAGTGGGTGAGTGAGTGGGTGGATGAGTGGGTGGGTGGGTGGTTCAGTGGGTGGGTGGGTGTGGTGGTGAGTGGGTGTGGGTGGGTGAGTGGGTGGGTGGGTGTGGTGGTGAGTTTGTGTGATGGTGAGTTTGTGTGATGGTGAGTTTGTGTGATGGTGAGTTTGTGTGATGGTGAGTTTGTGTGATGGTGAGTTAGTGTGGTGGTGAATTTGTGTGGTGGTGAGTGTGTGGGTGGGTGAGTGGATGGGTGAGTGGGTGGGTGGGTGAGTGGGTGAGTGGGTGGGTGGGTGAGTGTGTGGATGGGTGAGTGGGTGGGTGGGTGAGTGGGTGAGTGTGTGGGTGGGTGAGTGGGTGAGTGGGTGAGTGGGTGTGGTGATGTGTCGGTATTGTGGTGTGTGGGTGAGTGGGTGGGTGGGTAAGTGTGTGTGGTGGTGAGTGGATGTGGTGGTGAGTGGGTTGGTGGGTGGGTGATTGGGTTGGTGGGTGGGTGAGTGGGTTGGTGGGTGGGTGAGTGGGTTGGTGGGTGGGTGAATGGGTGGGTAGAGGGGTGAATGAGTTGATGGATGTGTGGTGTGGAATGGTGAGCGAGGGAATTGGTGAGTGGGTGCGTGAGTGAATGGTGGTGGTGTGGAAGGGGAAGTGGCAACAGTACAGTCGTTTAACACATTGCTTTCACGGCCACGGGAAGAGAGAGAGATGCAGACTCCAAATATACAGCAGCAGGCATCAGGGTGCGGGATTGAACCCATGGCCTTCTGTATACCAGGCGAGGTAGTTAACGTCTCCCATCCACCGCGGTGATGATGATGAGAGAGGGAGAGAGACACAAACTCTAAATATAAAGCAGGCCGAAGGTCCCGGGGTCGAACCCACGACCTCCTGCATACCAGGCGAGGTAGTTAACATCTCCTAGCCACCGTGATGATGATGATGATGCGAGAGATGCAGATTCCAAATATACAGCAGGCGTCAGGGTCAGGATCTTACCCATGAACTTCCTGTATACCAGGCAAGGTAGTTAACATCTACCCAATCACTGTGACGTTAAGGTCTGGGATCGAACCCACGCCCTCCTGCACACCAGGCGATGTAGTCTACATCTCGCTGGGTGCGGGATCGAACCCACGACCTGCGTACCAGGCGAGGTAGTTAACATCTACCCAATCACCGTGACGTTAAGGTCTGGGATCGAACCCACGACCTCCTGTGCACCAGGCGAGGTAGTCTACATCTCGCTGGGTGCGGGATCGAACCCACGACCTGCGTACCAGGCGAGGTAGTTAACATCTACCCAATCACCGTGACGTTAAGGTCTGGGATCGAACCCACGACCTCCTGTGCACCAGGCGAGGTAGTCAATATCTCGCAGGGTCCGGGATCGAACCCACGACCTCCTGCGCACCAGGCGAGGTAGTCAACATCTCGCAGGGTCCGGGATCGAACCCACAACCTCCTGTGCACCAGGGTATGTAGTCAACATCTCGCAGGGTCCGGGATCGAACCCACAACCTCCTGTGCACCAGGCGATGTAGTCAACATCTCGCTGGGTGCGGGATCGAACCCACGACCTCCTGCGTACCAGGAGAGGTAATCAACATCTCACATGCTCCGGGATTGAACCCACACCCTCCTGTATACCAGGCGAGGTAGTTAACATCTACCCAATCACCGTGACCTTAAGGTCTGGGATCGAACCCACAACCTCCTGCGCACCAGGCGAGGTAGTCAACATCTCGCAGGGTCCGGGATCGAACCCACGAACCTCTTGTATACCAGGCGAGGTAGTAAACATCTCACATGCTCCGGGATCGAACCCACGACCTCCTGCGTACCAGGAGAGGTAATCAACATCTCACATGCTCCGGGATTGAACCCACGCCCTCCTGTATACCAGGCGAGGCAATCAACATCTCACATGCTCCGGGATCGAATCCACGGCCTCCTGTATACCAGGCGAAGCAATCAACATCTCACATGCTCCGGGATTGAACCCACGCCCTCCTGTATACCAGGCGAGGCAATCAACATCTCACATGCTCCGGGATTGAACCCACGCCCTCCTGTATACCAGGCGAGGCAATCAACATCTCCTCGGCCACCCTCTACCTGGGCTCTTGCAGGGCGCCGTGCAGGGCGGAGTGCAGGGCGTCTCTGTCCAGGGAGGCCACCCGCAGGCAGACTGCGAAACCGCGACTCTGTGCCAGGCGGCAGTTGCGGTGCTGATCGCCGAACAGCGGGATCATGACGGCAGGGACGCCGTGGTAGATGGCCTCGTACACACTGTTCATGCCTCCGTGAGAGACCAGCAGACGGGCTCCACTGTGGCCTGCATGCGGGGGAAGTGGGTGGGTGGGTGAGTGGGTGGGTGGGTGAGTGGGTGGGTGGGTGGGTGGGTGGGTGGGTGGGTGGGTGAGTGAGTGAGTGAGTGGGTGGGTGGGTGAGTGAGTGAGTGAGTGAGTGGGTGGGTGGGTGAGCGGGTGGGTGAGTGGGTGGGTTATTGGGTGGGTGGGTGAGTGGGTGGGTGGGTGGGTGGATGGGTGAGTGGGTGGGTAGATGGGCGAGTGGGTGGGTGGATGGGTGAGTGGGTGGGTGGATGGGTGAGTGGGTGGGTGGGTGAGTGGGTGGGTGGGTGAGTGGGTGGGTGAGTGGGTGGGTGAGTGGGTGGGTGGTTGAGTGGGTGGTTGAGTGGGTAGTTGAGTGGGTGGGTGAGTGGGTGGGTGGGTGAGTGGGTGGGTTATTGAGTGGGTGAATGGGTGGGTGAATGGGTGGGTGAGTGGGTGGGTGGGTGAGTGGGTGGGTGAGTGGGTGGGTGAGTGGGTGGGTGGTTGAGTGGGTGGTTGAGTGGGTAGTTGAGTGGGTGGGTGAGTGGGTGGGTGAGTGGGTGTGTGGGTCGGTTGACTTTTTACCCACCCAGCAAACCCGCTCACTCATTATTTCACTTCACCATTCACTCATTCAGGAATAAACTAATTAATTCCCTCACCCATGAGCTCCTTGTGAGGCAAGCCAGTGATTGAGTCGACCTATTCCTGAGTGAATGAGTGAGTGACTGACCAAGTGCACTAAGGAACGAATAAACGAAGGAATCACTGAATGAGTGAACGGAGATTGTTGTGAGGCAAGCAGTGAATAGCAGACTACTGGTTGTCCCAATGGGTGAACGAATTACGAAGGAGTAAACAAATGAAGGAATTAATAATGGAATGAATGAACGAACAAAGAACGAAACAATCGCCCACGAGGTATTTGTGAGGCAGCCAGTGAATATAACTCGGGCGATGACTGAGTGACTGAAGGAATTAGGGAACGAATGAATGAGTGAACGATTCAACGAGAAAACGAATGAATGAATGAATGAAAGAGTGAATGAACGACTCGCCCACGAGTCCCTTGTGGGGCAGCGAGTGAATGAGTCGACCGATTCCCAGGGAACCGAGTGACCTATCGAATAAATGATTAAGTGAATGAGTGAAGGAATGAACGCATGAACTAATGAAGAAGTCAACGCACGAACGACTCACCCACGAGATCGATGTGAAGCAGGCAGTGAATGAGTCGACTGATTCCCAAAAAACCGAGCGACAGATTGAATAACCGACCGAGTGAATGAATGAGTGTTGAGTTAGTGAATGAGTGAATGAGTGAGTGAATGAGTGAACGAACCAACGACTCGCTCACGAGGTCCTTGTGAGACAGCCTGTGAATAAGTCGACCGATTCACAGGTTCCGAGCGACGGATTGAATAACTGACCGAGTGATTTGAATGAGTGAATGAGTGAGTGAATGAGTGAGTGAATGAGTGAACGAACCAACGACTCGCTCACGAGGTCCTTGTGAGACAGCCTGTGAATTAGTCGACCGATTCACAGGTTCCGAGCGACGGATTGAAAAACTGACCAAGTGATTTGAGTGAGTGAATGAGTGAGTGAATGAGTGAGTGAATGAGTGAGTGAATGAGTGATTGAATACGTTAGTGAATGAGTGAGTGAATGAGTGAGTGAATGAGTGAATGAACCAATGACTCACCCACGAGGTTCTTGTGAGGCAGCCAGTGGAATGAGTCGACTCATTCCCGAGTAACTGAGTGACGGATTGAAAAACTGACCGAGTGAATGAATGAGTGTTGAGTTAGTGAATGAGTGAGTGAATGAGCGAGTGAATGAGTGAGTGAATGAGTGAGTGAATGAGTGAGTAAATGAGTGAGTGAATGAGCGAGTGAATGAGTGAGTGAATGAGTGAACGAACCAACGACTCGCTCACGAGATCGATGTGAGGCAGCCAGTGGATGAGTCAACTGATTCCCAAGTAACCGAGCGACGGATTGAATAACCGACCGAGTGAATGAATGAGTGTTCAGTTAGTAAATGAGTGAGTGAATGAGTGAGTGAACGAACCAACGAACGAACCAACGACTCACCCACAAGGTCCTTGTGAAGCAGCCAGTCAATGAGTTGACCGATTCCCAAGTAACCGAGTGACGGATTGAAAAACCGACCGAGTGAATGAATGAGTGAATGAGTGAGTGAATGAGCGAGTGAATGAGTGAGTGAATGAGTGAGTGAATGAGTGAACGAACCAACGACTCACCCACGAGGTCCTTGTGATACAGCCTGTGAATAAGTCGACCGATTCACAGGTTCTGAGCGACGGATTGAAAAACCGACCGATTGATTTGAATGAGTGTTGAGTTAGTGAATGAGTGAGTGAATGAGTGAGTGTTGATTTAGTGAATGAGCGAGTGAATGAGTGAGTGAATGAGTGAGTGAATGAGTGAGTGAGTGAGTGAATGAGTGAGTGAATGAGTGAGTGAATGAGTGAACGAACCAACGACTCACCCACGAGGTCCTTGTGATACAGCCTGTGAATAAGTCGACCGATTCACAGGTTTCGAGCGACGAATTGAATAACCGACCGAGTGAATGAATGAGTGCTGAGTTAGTGAATGAGTGAGTGAATGAGTGAGTGTTGAGTTAGTGAATGAGTGAGTGAGTGAATGAGTGAGTGAGTGAATGAGTGAGTGAATGAGTGAGTGAATGAGTGAACGAACCAACGACTCGCTCACGAGGTCCTTGTGAGACAGCCTGTGAATAAGTCGACCGATTCACAGGTTCCGAGCGACGGATTGAATAACTGACCGAGTGATTTGAATGAGTGAATGAGTGAGTGAATGAGTGAGTGAATGAGTGAACGAACCAACGACTCGCTCACGAGGTCCTTGTGAGACAGCCTGTGAATTAGTCGACCGATTCACAGGTTCCGAGCGACGGATTGAAAAACCGACCAAGTGATTTGAGTGAGTGAATGAGTGAGTGAATGAGTGAGTGAATGAGTGAGTGAATGAGTGATTGAATACGTTAGTGAATGAGTGAGTGAATGAGTGAGTGAATGAGTGAATGAACCAATGACTCACCCACGAGGTTCTTGTGAGGCAGCCAGTGGAATGAGTCGACTCATTCCCGAGTAACTGAGTGACGGATTGAAAAACTGACCGAGTGAATGAATGAGTGTTGAGTTAGTGAATGAGTGAGTGAATGAGCGAGTGAATGAGTGAGTGAATGAGTGAGTGAATGAGTGAGTAAATGAGTGAGTGAATGAGCGAGTGAATGAGTGAGTGAATGAGTGAACGAACCAACGACTCGCTCACGAGATCGATGTGAGGCAGCCAGTGGATGAGTCAACTGATTCCCAAGTAACCGAGCGACGGATTGAATAACCGACCGAGTGAATGAATGAGTGTTCAGTTAGTGAATGAGTGAGTGAATGAGTGAGTGAACGAACCAACGAACGAACCAACGACTCACCCACAAGGTCCTTGTGAAGCAGCCAGTCAATGAGTTGACCGATTCCCAAGTAACCGAGTGACGGATTGAAAAACCGACCGAGTGAATGAATGAGTGAATGAGTGAGTGAATGAGCGAGTGAATGAGTGAGTGAATGAGTGAGTGAATGAGTGAACGAACCAACGACTCACCCACGAGGTCCTTGTGATACAGCCTGTGAATAAGTCGACCGATTCACAGGTTCTGAGCGACGGATTGAAAAACCGACCGATTGATTTGAATGAGTGTTGAGTTAGTGAATGAGTGAGTGAATGAGTGAGTGTTGATTTAGTGAATGAGCGAGTGAATGAGTGAGTGAATGAGTGAGTGAATGAGTGAGTGAGTGAGTGAATGAGTGAGTGAATGAGTGAGTGAATGAGTGAACGAACCAACGACTCACCCACGAGGTCCTTGTGATACAGCCTGTGAATAAGTCGACCGATTCACAGGTTTCGAGCGACGAATTGAATAACCGACCGAGTGAATGAATGAGTGCTGAGTTAGTGAATGAGTGAGTGAATGAGTGAGTGTTGAGTTAGTGAATGAGTGAGTGAGTGAATGAGTGAATGAGTGAGTGAGTGAATGAGTGAGTGAATGAGTGAGTGAATGAGTGAACGAACCAACGACTCACCCACGAGGTCCTTGTGAGGCAGCCAGTGAATGAGTCGACTGATTCACAGGTTCCGAGTGACGGATTGAAAAACCGACCGAGTGAATGAATGAGTGTTGAGTTAGTGAATGAGTGAGTAAATGAGTGAGTGAATGAGTGAGTGAATGAATGAGTGTTGAGTTAGTGAATGAGTGAGTGAATGAGTGAGTGTTGAGTTAGTGAATGAGTGAGTGAGTGAATGAGTGAATGAGTGAGTGAGTGAGTGAATGAGTGAGTGAATGAGTGAGTGAATGAGTGAACGAACCAACGACTCACCCACGAGGTCCTTGCGATACAGCCTGTGAATAAGTCGACCGATTCACAGGTTTCGAGCGACAAATTGAATAACCGACCGAGTGAATGAATGAGTGCTGAGTTAGTGAATGAGTGAGTGAATGAGTGAGTGTTGAGTTAGTGAATGAGTGAGTGAGTGAATGAGTGAGTGAGTGAATGAGTGAGTGAATGAGTGAGTGAATGAGTGAACGAACCAACGACTCACCCACGAGGTCCTTGTGAGGCAGCCAGTGAATGAGTCGACTGATTCACAGGTTCCGAGTGACGGATTGAAAAACCGACCGAGTGAATGAATGAGTGTTGAGTTAGTGAATGAGTGAGTAAATGAGCGAGTGAATAAGTGAGTGAATGAATGAGTGTTGAGTTAGTGAATGAGTGAGTGAATGAGTGAGTGTTGAGTTAGTGAATGAGTGAGTGAGTGAATGAGTGAATGAGTGAGTGAGTGAGGGAATGAGTGAGTGAATGAGTGAGTGAATGAGTGAACGAACCAACGACTCACCCACGAGGTCCTTGCAATACAGCCTGTGAATAAGTCGACCGATTCACAGGTTTCGAGCGACGAAT